CGGAGCTTGTGGACTTAACAACGTTTGCAGCCTTGATGGTAACCGGCCAAAGTGTGAATGCCCACGGGGGTTTTCGTTGCTTGATTCCAATGATCCAAATGGTGACTGCAACCGTGATTTCAGTCCAAGATGTGATGAAGGTTATGCGGGAGATCTGTTTGATTTCATTGAGCTTAATAATACTAATTGGCCAGGAACTGACTATGCGCATATCATACCTACTAATGAACAAAGCTGCAAAAATTCTTGCACAGAAGATTGTTTCTGTGCTGTTGCAGTTTTTGCAAACGACCAATGTTGGAAGAAGGCGCTTCCACTCACCAACGGAAAGAAGACTTCTTCAGAAAATGTGAAGACATTCCTGAAATACCAGAAAGATGAACGTCCTCTTCAACGCCCTCCTCCGTTTTTAAAAGAAAAAGATCAGAGAAGTTTGGTACTTGTTGGATCAGTTCTCTTAGGTACTTGTGTGTTTGTTATTGTAGTATTGATTGGTGTAATTTGTCTGGGTTTCTTTCTAATCTACAAGAAGAAACCCACATATCCATATGCAAGTAGTAAAGCTGCTGAAAGCAATCTGCCTCGTTTTACTTATCAAGAGCTAGTGGAAGCTACTAATGGGTTCAAGGATGAACTGGGAAGGGGGGCTTTCGGGATAGTCTATAAAGGTGTAATAGGGACAAACATCGTGGCAGTAAAGAAGTTGGATAGAGTGGTTGAAGATGGCGAGAAGGAATTCAAGACGGAAGTTAACGTCATTGCAAGGACTCATCACAAAAATTTGGTGCAGCTTCTTGGGTATTGTGATGATGGTGAGCAACGCCTATTGATTTACGAGTACATGAACAATGGCACTCTCGCAGCCTTTCTTTTCAAAGACATGAAGCCAAGTTGGAAAGAAAGGAGTTATATTGGTGTAGGCGTAGCAAAGGGACTCGCATACCTCCATGAAGAGTGTAGCACACAGATCATCCACTGTGACATAAAGCCTCAAAATATTCTTCTTGACGATTACTACAATGCTAAGATWTCWGATTTTGGATTGGCAAAGCTTTTATTGATGAATCAAAGTCGAACAAATACTGGAATAAGAGGAACGAAAGGATATGTTGCTCCAGAATGGTTTAGGAACACCCCCGTCACTGTGAAGGTTGATGTATTCAGCTATGGCGTGTTACTATTAGAGATCATTTCATGTCAAAAGAGTGTGGTTTTTGACAGTGATAAGGAATATGTGGAAGTTTTAACTGATTGGGCATGGGATTGCTATCATGAAGGTAGAGTGGATGCACTTGTTGAGAATGATATGGAGGGGTTAGACGACTTGGAGAGAGTAACAACGTTTGTGAAGATTGGTCTATGGTGTGTACAAGAAAACCCTTCTTTGAGGCCAACCATGAGGAAGGTAGTCCAGATGCTTGAAGACTTTGAAGTGACAGATCCTCCATGTCCATGCCCTCTATTTTGTACCTCCATCTAATTATCAAATAGCTCTGCCATTAATGTGTTGGTACCTTGTTCTATATATTAATTGTTTCCTACTGTTAGTTGTAAAAAATAATTTCGATCTATATAGTTTAATTATCACATCTTGAGAGGCTCGGTTGTTTTAGGAATCTCGAGTAATGTAACAAGTAGATGTTAATGCTTTTGGTTTTGACAACTTACTTTTGTATATTCTCAATGCATAATTGATCTGATTCAGACATAAAAAAAATTTGCATTGAGAAATTTTTGGATATCCAAAAATCTGCACATTTTTTTATGTGATATCCAAAAACCTACGGTAAATTCATTAAGAATCACCATAATACATCTTTGTGATATCCAAAATTCGTGAGAATTTATTGGGCGACTTCGTCACATATTATATGATGTTCAAAAATCTTAATATTTATGTTAATTTAATTGTCTAGTATAATGACTTTTAAGAAATAGCGGAAATTGAAGCTTTTCTTGACCGTAGGTTAATTTCTTGGCAAGTTTATGCACACCGACTAATTTCTCGAGGGTGATCATGAATGGCCCGGAGTTATTGTAGGTAAACTAGCCACAAGAGCTTTAACGGTTACTTGGATTCGATGAGATTTCCACTAGAAAATGACACTTTTTGGAATCTAATTAATTGTTGAGGTGGCCATGGACCAGTTCCACATTGAATGCTTCCAGCAGCATATGACTCTTTCGTGATTGTCACCCAGAAGAGTCAAGATCCTTTACAATTTGGACACAACAGAAGACTTCTTGTATTATATCACATGGAATTCAAAAGTCTTTCCGTTGACTTTATGGCAATAATCCATCTTTTTTTATTAACATGATATTCAACCCGTTATGCGAGTCGATTACTTTGCAGATAGTTCGAATTCACTGCATTTGAACCTCCATGAGACACAAGGGGATTTTTATTTCTATTTGGATTTTTAATAAAGATCCTAATTTTGTTATGTTGTTGTCTATTGATTAATTATTGTAGCAATTTCCCGTTACGCTTAGTCCTTCTGTATATCATCTTTCTAACTACTTTCATATGTTTTGTAGCTGCACAACGGACCAATGGTGCATCACTCACAGCAACCTCTGATGTCAAACCATGGCTTTCGTCTTCTGGTGAATTTCCAACAACTTCAAGGGAAAGATATTTTCTTGTTATTCATAAGGTATGACAAGATACCTGACAAAACCATCATCTGGTATCCAGGAACAAATGCTACAGTGTCTAGCTAGAGGATCGAAAGTCGAGCTAGTTGATCAGCTGGGCTCGTACTCGGTGATCCTCAAGGCAGACAAGTATGGAGTACTTTTGGGTCCATTTCTAATCTTGCACATGATGTTATGAATGATACAGGTAACTCTGGGCTTGTTCGTAACGATTCTAGCAAGATTTGGGAGAGTTTCGAATTTCCAGCAGATACTTTACTAATATTAATTGGCCACCATCTGATTACATGCGCCTCAATTCAATTTATGGAGAATGATCAGGAAGCCTTAGATGACTACAAGAGACTAAATGAATCCACATATACTAAAAGCAACTATGTTACTCATCATTTCGTTCCTAAAAAATAACATAACAGAACAAAAACCCGAGCAAATAGAAGAGATAAAAAAAAATCTAAAAATTTAGTTTAATTAACGATTTCACATATTAATGTCATAATATATAAATATATTTATAAATAAACAAACGTAAACGAAAATAAATGAATAAATAAGACCATTGTCCATGTTCATTCATTTAACTAAACGAACACAAAAATGTGTTTATGTTCGTTATTTATTAAATAAGCGAACTTCCTTCCGTACGGTTCATGAACAGTTTACTGAACGTTCGATTCGTTTACGATGCTAGTCGACGAGATGGTATCAATGACTAGAGATAGAAAAGGAATTTTGTGATTTTTGTTGATTTTGTTGTTGTTCATGTGATTTTGGTTCCCATGATTCAAAGAATTTCTTATTTTATATATTCATATTGTTTGGAATTGAATGTGGGACTAAACGTTTATTCGGTAAGTGTTTATTGGGTAATTTTCCTTATCAGATGAACATGACAAGAGTCAAAAATCTTACCCGATAAGAGCAATGATAAAGATAGAGGGTCTTATTCGATAAGTGCGGGTGACGACTCTTACTCGGATAAGTGCTTACCAGGTAAATTATTGCATACGATATCCTTTTGATGTACTATAATCTTATCCGGTAAAATAAATTATAATATTGATTCCTAAAGGTAAATGCTTACCAGGTAAGCATTTAAATAAACGGCTCATTACTCTTCTTATTTTTTGTTTGAATTGATGGCATTTTGTGGTCAGGACTTTTGGGTTAAAGAATACATGGGGAGGAAGAAAAGAGATCAAAGGGAAAAGACTAAAAATTACCACAATACCCGTGACTTAACATGTATATTTTAACTGTGTTAACGGGGAGGAGAAAAACCGAGAATATTTCGCATACAACTGGGTTTTTTTGCAATAAAAAATTATAAAGATCTAATCCAAGAAAATCAACAAACCACAAGGATCAAAAATGAAATTAACTCTACTTGGGTACTAACCTTTTTTAATAAAAAGGAAAATGACATAAATATCCCTCAACGAAGGACACTCCAACTAACGGTGTTAGGGCTAGAAATCATTTTCAAAGTAAAACGTATATCATGGTGACTACTTCTAAACTTTTTGAATCACGGGGATCATTTTCGGGTTTTTTTTTTATAAACTATGGAGATCAAGAGTGTAGTTACTTTTTCTTTTAAGGAGAGGTTTGGTTTGCAGATTTTCTGAAGAAATCTGATAGAATTGGAATGTTGAGTTTCATTGATCAAATTTCATTCCCTCGTTTGGTTCATTTTTTTTACAAAAGGAATATTCAAAGTCCTACAAATGTTACATATAAATAAATTTAATATTTCTTAGAAACTACATGGTATTTTGATGGAATGAAATTCTCTATTTTTATAATATCAAATATGTCATTAACCCAATATACCCTAATCTCATAAAACCCAATATAATCATCATCGACCACCTCCGACCACCGTCGATCTGAATCACTGCCAACCACCGCTATCTGAATCACTGCCGACCATCACCTACTACATGTTATTTTGAGACAATTTTATTATCGATCTAGTAACATCGTTTGGTCTATGATTATATTTAGGTTGTGTATTTTATATTGTTTTACATATTAAATAACTATTTTATTGAAATATCTTTAGTTTATGAAGTATCTAGTAACTTGGAACCTCAACCTCCATTTCGTTGCATCATTGTCCCCCTCCCCCTCCTTCTTTGGGGACCATCTATGTTCTTCTCAATCTCCATTGAACCTGTTGTTCACATCACACGACATACGATTTTTCATTTGAAATTAGGATTTTGATTTAGGTTTCAAATTTGCAATTTGGTTGAGTTTTGGAGTTTAGGTTGGATTTTGGTTTAGTTCATATTTGAATTTGGTTGCGTCTTGAGGAATTTGGTTTGTCAATAAAGATGATCGGATGGGGGTCGGGTCGGAGAGGGTTGTCGGACTCGGGGGAGGATGAGAAAAAGAAGAGGCGTGGGGTTAAGGTTAAACGTGTGTGCATTAAAAAAGTATTTAATAAAAAATGAAAAGGGCAAAAAAGATGTAGGACTAAAATTCCCCTTGGCATACATTTTTAATAGAGTTAATTTCAAGGACTATTTTTATATTTATTATAGCATAGGGACGATTTTTGTAGGTTTATATAAATCATAGGGACTAAATTTGTCGTTGGTAGTTGGTACTTCAACAAAGGAGGGTAATTTTGTCGAAGATAGAGTTGGCCGTTTTATTCTGCAAGGAGAGTCCCCGTTTTGTGATTTACTAACACATAATTAAATGAGAACCATAAAAATATTACAAATTTATGTGCACACGAAAAGGGTAAGAGGGCACAGGCCCCCAACAAGCTAATTCCAAATCCCAATAAACAGCCCAAATAAAACATTAGTGTTAGGTTTTAAAAAAAAAATTAACCAAAAACAATTAATAGCTCCAAATCTAAATTTATGCATCTTATTTATAACTCTTAGTTCAATGAGTCATTACTTTAAGGATTAATTAAACGTCATTAAGTTCCAAAACTCAATCTGTTGAAAATCATTTTATTTTTCTTATTTTGTTTGTTATAATGCTAATGATTTGATTAATCACTATTTTGATTTTTTCCAACTTTCTTTTTATTTTATTGTGTTATAGATTTATAATTATTGTTATTTGTTAATTATTAAATTTTTCTTTCTTAATTGTTATTTGATTTAGGATTCTTTAATTTGTTATTTAATTTGGGTTTGTTATTTTGATTTAAAGTTTGCTACTAGTTTGTCTTTTATTTTTGATTTCTTGGTATTTTGCTATCTGATTTCTTTTTAACTGAATCTAAGTTATCGATCTCTTGCCCTCTAATTTCATGTTACTAACTATTAATGTGTAGTGTGTTCATTTGCTTTGGTTTAACCGAAAAGTAAAATATGTACATGACGATATAATGTCTCGGTTTATCCAAAATAGTCAAAAATTAATTGAAAACCAAACCGAATAAGTTATATTTATTCGATAACTGAACTGTTTAATCTGGAAACCAAATAATCCAAAATCGTATTGGTTCGAATGAGTTATTTGGTTTCAGAATTTTTTTGACACTCTTAAATGTGCCCCCAATAATAGAAGTTTATGGATTTGCCATTGTCTATGAGAAATGATATAAAAGTATTTTTATATTATTTTTTAATCAAAAGCTACGATTTAACATATTGTTTCATATATGTTTATGTTCACCTTATGAAAAAAATTGCATGTGAAACCTTTTTTGGGTTCACTTAGGTGGCGTTTGTTTTTTAAGAGGTGCTGAAGTCTGAAGTCTGAATTCACTTCTGATTTTTAAGAGGTGGTGCTGAAGTCTGAAATCTGAATCAATCAGACTGTTTGTTTTTTGCGTCTGAAATCTGAAGTTTGAAGATGAGAGATCGAGAGTTGATATGGATCGACAGTTGACAGAGTGAGAGATGAGAGATCGAGACAGAAGAGTTGATCCAGAGAAATTGAGCGTAAAGAGATCAGAGTAGGTAGACGACAATTTGAAATAAGAGGTAATAAGAGGTTTCTCAATCACTTAGGTGGCGTTTGTTTTTTAAGAGGTGCTGAAGTCTGAAGTCTGAATTCACTTCTGAATTTTAAGAGGTGGTGCTGAAGTCTGAAATTTGAATCAGTCAGACTGTTTGTTTTTACGTCTGAAATCTGAATCAGTATACTTGACAAATATAAACGTGATATGTAATTGTGTAATCATAAACCATTACCCAATCAGTTATACAGTTGATCAATCATAGGTAATAACAATCTTTAGCTCATCATCTCTAAGCCCAAAAGCAGCCCAAGGCTGCTGTAAGCCCAGACCAGCAGCAATGAGAAGGAGGAAAAACTAGCCCAAGTTGCTGCCCAGTCCTGAAATCGGCAGAGAGAGAGAGAGAGAGAGACGTGTGCAGCGAGAGTTCGGGAGAAGGAGCAGCAGATCGGGAGATCGTGGGTGAGTTCGAGGAAGATCGTGGGCAAAGATGGGAGCAATTAAAGAGGACAGCAGCAAGCTGTCGAAGAGGGAGAGGCTGGTCGCGTGGAAGGAGAAAAGAAGGAGAGGGCGGTCGCGAGAGGAATCAAGCAGCCGGCTGTCGTTTGAGAGAAAAACCGAGGACGAGGGYTGTCGATAGAAAAAGGGGCTGTCATCAAGCAGCAGGAAGAAATCGAGAGGAAGAAATCGAGCAGCCGAGAGGAAGAAATCGAGCAGCAGGGGGCTGTCATCAAGCAGCCGAGAGGAAGAAATCGAGCAGCAGGGGGCTGTCGATTGGAAGCAGCAGAAGAGGGAAGGAAGCAGCAGAAGAGGGAAGGAAGCAGCAGCCGAGAAGAAGGGGAATCAAATTAAGAGGTTTTCAGACTTAAATTTACATCTAACCGATTCAGACAAAATGAGACATTTTAAGCACTTAATTTATAAAAAAAACAAACGCACTTAATTCCTCTAGGTCTGAATCGGTCAGACTTAAGAGGCAATTAAGTGATTTTTTAGAAAAACAAACAGGGCCTTAAATTTTCAGACCTAATAAGAGCTTTTAAGCTCTTAATTGGAAAAAAAAAACAAACACACTGAATCCTCTTATATCTGACCGATTCAGACTTAAGAGGACATTAAGTGTTTTTATTAAAAACAAACAGCCCCTTAGTGAAACGAAAATACACAGAAAAGATATTCATATGGTGAAACTATCACATTATGAAACAAATATATGTGAAACAATATTCTAAATACTAGCATTTAATGAAAAAAAAAATCATATAAAATTTATTTTTAAATCGGTTATCACATGGTTTGTAACATTTTTGTGATTCTCATTTAATTTAACATACGTGCGGGTACACACACATACATACTAGTTGGAAAAGGTTTATTTAAGAATGATAAATATTTGAGAAGTAAATAAGTGATCCTAACCCTTCATTTGGTCATTTGCGACTTTGACCATGAAATATAGAATAATTTGTCGAATGGATATGCGTAATTTAGATGAGTAGTTTCGTAACTTTTACAAATAGGCGGCAAACGGGTTCATATGTGAATCTATGTGATACACATAGGAACTATATGTTCGTATGTGAATCACAGAAGTTCAAATGTGAATCATACAAGTTCATATATGAATCAGTTAATTAGTTCATATGTGAATCGGTTAAAATAGTTCATATGTGAATTACACGAGTTCATATATGAACATATAGTTCACATGTGAATCACATAGGTTCATATATGAATTCGTTTGTCGTATATCTGTAAAAGTTATTGAACTACCCTCACTATTTTTCGTATAGCTGTAATTATTGACTAGTCAAATACGATCTTGACGGTAAAAAAGACTAGAATCACTTCTCTACTTCTCAAAATAATCTTTGGCTATACTTGTGTGTAGGAATGTAAATGATGCGAATCAAGTTTGAGAATCAAAATATTCAACTCGAACTCGATAACCATTTCTCAAACTCGAACTCAACTCGAAAACTCGTGAGTAGTTAATAACTAAATTTGACTCGAACTTTTCGATTTGACTATTGGGTAGCTCAACTCAACTTGTTAATATATCGAGTCGAGTGTTGACCGAGTCGATCTCGAGTAACTCACGAGTTGTCTCATATCGATTACCCCTACTTGTGTGTACATATATTTATTCAGTTTTTATTTGAAAATTAAAAAACCAAAAAGACCAAAATGCCCTTAGTTAACATGATTTTTAATGAAAGTTAGGGGCTGTTTGGCAAATGCTGAATGGTTTGGTGCAAAATGGTTAAGTGGTCAGAATGATTAAAATGCTCTCATGATATAGTGCAAAATGAAATATAATTGTTTGATAATTGTGTACAATGAAATTAGGGCTTTTAATGGTTAAGGGAGATTCATGATACAAAATCATTCAGAGAGTTTTAGAACCATTAAGAGACAGACTTTTCTTTGCCAAACAAGATTCACTTAACGATTCAGAGTTACCTCTTAAAGGAACTATTAAGAGGTAAACAAACAACCCCTTGATCAAAGGGATAAAAAATGTAATTATTTTAAGATGGGAACAAAACTTGACATCGAGTGGTAACCAAAAGGATCAAAAACACAATTTACTCAAGAATTTAGTTACCAAAGTGATAGAACAACGTTAACATCTCTTTCCCAACCCTTGACCAAAGTGCACACACACTCTATGCCAATACCCATTTCAACATTACACACTAAATTCTCATCTACACAACCCAATTCACCAAATCTCTCTCTCTCTCTCTCTCTCTCTCTCTCTGTATCATCTTCTTCCATATCTGCTTGCTGTATCTGCCCATTCCCTCTTACCTTGGGACCACTTATTTTCAAAATCTCTCTCTACCATCTGATCCTCATTCATTCTATCCCCCAAATCACTATCTATCTTGTTAAAGAAAGAAACAATCTTTTCTTCAACTATCGAAAAACTCAACCTGTTCAAAACATATGTTTCGCCTATTCACAGATGCTTTGATTGATTGATTGATAGCCCTGCTCTTCTTATATCTCACATGGTTAGTTTCTTTCTTATCTGATTTGATTTATGGTGTCATTGTTTCCAGCTTAAAGATTCTACAGTTGTTGGGTTTTGCAAGTCAAAGATATTGCATCTGGCTTTTGCTTGATTTGTTTGTTCTTATTTCTGAGATCTTGTCTTCTGATCAAGTTATGCCCCCTTTTCATAGATCTTATGGCTTGTAATTCATAAATGAATATGCTTTATTCTCTGATTGTTTTGTTCTTCCCTAATCTTTAGACAACTATTGCCTATCTGTTTTCTTTTCTTTAGGGTTTTTTATGTTATTCAGTTGATTCTAGATTTACACATCTGAATCGAATATGTTTTCTAGTTTCGGTGTACACCCATTATATGGATTTGAATGTTTTTGAGGTTTTTCTTGATACAAATTGAATATTTCCCACTAGTAAGGTCTCTTTTTTCCCTTTTGATTTGGCAGAATATGTATCTGGAACTGTAGTTTCTTGAATCTTGATTGCTGTAAGTATGGGTAGGGGTAGAGGAAAAGGGAAGAAGTTCACTTTGACTAACAATGATGACAATGGAAGTGGTGAAGAAGAAAGAATTCCAGCCCAAAAAAGAAGGGGTAGGCCCCAGAAACCATTGGTGGATGAAATCGAAGAAGATGTTGAAAAGATAGAAGATGAAGAGAACACGAATGTGAATGATGTTGTATCGAACAAAGATGTGAAGGTAATGGAGAATGGAAAGAAGAGGAAAAGAAACAAACAGTTGAAAGAAGAGGGTGATTTGGTGAAGGAGGAAAGTGGGATTGGAACCAGATCAAACGCTAACGGATTAGCTCAGGTTAATGGTTTTCGCCATACTGGAAGTAGGAGGAAAAGCAAGCCTCGCCGTGCAGCTGAAGCAGGTGTCGAGTGCAAATGAGACCTGCAATCAAAGCATGCCCTTGCCTACCTAGTAAACCTCTAGTCTCATCTGGTTCATCTGTTCTCTATTTTGGTTGTTTATTTCTATCTAGTTTTCGGTTTGATTGAATGGGAAGCCTTGAATTGATCATGGTAATCTCATTTTGCATCATCGATATATGTTCCATTTGAGTCTATAACAAATTTTTTGCATGATATCGGTTGCATAAGACTTTATTTAGAGTTGTTTTATTCGATCCATCGTATTTTGTGTTCATTATATAGTAGATTCATCTTCAAGCATAAATAAGTGGCATACTGCCATAATGATTCTAAATCTGTTTGTTATGTCCCTCATTTGAAGTTTAGCTGTTTTTTCATCTTCAGCTTAATATGCAAAGGTTCTATAAGGACTAGGGCCTGTGGATTTTTTTTTGTCAAATGACTAAAATACCCCTGAGTAACAACAAAGGACCCAAATCAGTATCATCTATGTTTTGTAAAAGACGACAATGAATAGATAGGTAAATGTGCTTAAAGTCCCTAAATGGAAACTGTTCCTTTGAGCACTAGTTATGTTTGCTTCCTGCTATTTATCTTGTTTAACTATGTTTCGAGGAAGAAATTTGGTGAAAAATTGATGTTCTTAACAATCCATGAGGATACGATGAATTCCCAATACGTGTTGAGCCATCAAGATGGCAGAAATTTGCAGACTTTGATCAAGAAACTCCTCAAGACTAGAATCATCCTCTGTATTCGATTTCTTGAAATTTTGATTATATTTGCAAGATCACATGCACATGTTTTGTGGGCATCTAAACATGTTTTTACTTGCATCGGTCTTGTGCGACCACTGCGTGTAGCACCCTGAAACCATCAATGTGGTTCTTATTCTTGACGTTACTGAGCTGAAGACAGATTTGCAAATGACAGCATATAGTTGTGGGGTGTTCTGCTTCTTAAGGAGAGTTATACAGGACTTTGATTTGGCTTGGCTGTCTGTTAGGGCATAATATTCTAACAATGTTAAAAGTCAAACTAATCCAATGTGTGTTTATTAAGTCTGTTTGGTGATTCAGATACCCTTATGGCTGGATTGCAAAACCCAAATTTGAATTTTGAAAAAGTTCTTGGTAAGCATTGGATCATCATCTGAATTGAGTGGAAGTTCTGTTCTGTTCTGTTATTTCAAATACATAAAAAAAAGGCACTTCTTTTTGAATGAGAAGCCACCAACAATGTTGGGAATGATATCTTGAAACTAGGGATTCAAAAAATGCACCTATTTGATTTAATTTAATTTAATTTAATTTAATACGTATATATTATTAGTTGGAATTTATTTTAATTAAAAATAAAATATATTTTGTTGATAAAATTTAATTTAATCAAATACATAATTAATAACAGATTAATGATAAAATAATTTGATTAAATTACTAATACATTAATGATAAAATTTAATCAAATACATAATTAATTAAAATTCGTCGTGGAAATGATATCACCGACAAGATTCAAGAAAGATCTTTCACTTTTATTAACATGTTACTGTGTTAGAGCGATTGACATTGGTCAAGTTAACCATCAGTTAGATATACATCTAGTATTCGATGCATATATACCAATGAACACTAGCAACGAATTTTAATTAATTATGTATGTAGTTAATTTTTTTCGTTAATTCGTCAGTAATTTAAACAAATTATTTTTTATTTTTTTAATTTGAAAAATCACCAACGAAATATATTTTACTTTCAATTAAAATAAATTTCATCAGTAATCATTTCTATTTTTTTTTTAATTTCAGAAATCATATATGAAATAAATTTTATTTTCAATTAAAATAAATTTAATCAATAATTCTTTTTAATTTGAAAAATAGTTGACAAAATATTTTTTATTTTTAATTAAAATAAATTTTATCAATAATTTTTTTTAATATAAGTATTTTTTTTGGTATATTTATTTTATTTTATAGATATAAGTATATTTTTTTGGTTCAAAAAATATTTAAGGACTTAATCGTTCAAAATATAAAAGTTCATTGGATTTTTTCAGACGCATTAACCAGTTTTATAGGTCATAAGAATGTATCTAACATGTTTTAGAAAGTTCAATGAATTATTTAACAAATTTTGAAATGTCCAAAAACTTATTTATTCCAAAAAATTATCTAAATACTTAATCGTTCTAAACACTAAAATTCATTGAATTTTTTTTAGATTTTCTCTCATTTTTATATTTCTATTCTTCTCCTATTAAAAAGTTAAAAGGAAAATATATATTGTCACATACTCGACAGTGAACCTCTCTCTCCTCGCCCTCGCCCTCGCCCTCGCCCTCGCCCTCCCCCTTCCCTTGTGACCGTCTATGAAACATAGCAAAGGGAAACATCACTCACCCCTTCCTCCAGTCTTCAGACACACCGAAACATCAATCTCGATCCATCAAAGAACACCTCCAAAAAATCGTCTCACAGGTGAACGCATCCTTGTCCGTCGACAGAATACAAATCTCAATCTGTCATAGAAAGCCATGAGTATTTGTGTTGTATGTTTGCAAATCTAGGTTTGATGGTTGGAGTGTGTATCTTGTGGTTGTGTAGATATGAGTTTGATGGCTGGTTCTTCAACTCAGACGATGAGGGGAGAGAGAGAGAGAGAGAGAGAGAGAGAGAGAGAGAGATGAAGGCGGGGTTCGGTGGTGCATGTTGTGGTAGCTGGAGATGACGTGGACGGTGGATGGTGGCCGGAATACGTTTTTTTATCAGGGAAGGGGGGGGGGTTTGTAAAGGGAAGGAGTTTTTTATTATACTGAAAGACAAAAAAAGTATATCAAAAACTAAGAGGTGGTTTATTGATTGTTGTAGTTTGGTGAAAATGAATAAATGGTCAGAATGATTAAAAGGTTTTTATGTTATAACGTAAAATAAAATATAATTGTTTGGTAATTTCTTACAATGAAATTAAAATGCTAAATGGTTAAGACTCATGATATAAAATCATTCAGAGGGTTTTATAACCATTAAGAAACAAATATTTTTTATCAAACAAAATTCAATTCTTAACAATTCAGAGACTGCTTTTTAATTAAACTATTAAAAGGTAAATAAACATGTCTTAAAATAACCCGAACTATTAAAAAAAATACATTAAAGGGAGGCACTCACTAGTTAAAATTCTAGTCACCGAGTCCATAATTCGTTTTGATTTCAAGACCTTTGTTCAGTCTTTTCCAAATATTGCAATTTGCAAACATTTTATTTGAAAAAATTATTAAAATTGACACAACTTGGTACAATTTTAGAGTCAAGTATAAAAACTATAAATATATAAAATTTTCAAACTGTACTTTTTATTTAGATTATTTTAAAAATTGAAAGGAGTTTTAACACTTGTAGGCCTGTTTGGTTGATTTTTCATTAAGTCTTATATGATTTAATAGAATTTAATCCATTTTTACAAATATATTATCCAAAATATTCTGTAAAACTTCCAAGCACAAAATGCATTTGAATTCTTGTGAAAAAAAATATATACGCATATAAAAAATATTTATTAGCAGAAGCCCCATACACTTGAAATGAACTTGTGAAAAATGTGCAAATAAAGTATTTATTGATGAATAGCAGAAACCCCATACAATATTTTCACTTTTTGCATGGAAATAGCAAGATCAAGATTTCTTGCTCCATTTTATTTGGCCCAGATAAAAAAAAAAAGAACTAGATGGAAATGCTGTTTGGAACCCCCATACTAGTGACACCAGGTCCTGAAGTAGGCTTTAGAAGGGTGTACGGTACAACCCCAACCCCATTTCTGTTCCTCAAGCAAGCATCTGCATTCCTACCGTCGATTATTCCTTCCAGCTCCTGCAACTTCCCTGAAAATATTTCGTATGCAGCTTTTATCTCTGGAACTGCCTCAAATGTTAACTCCAATTGCTGCCCGATATATTCCTCATCGGGAGAATGAGTCGATAGCACGTCCAAAACTGCCATAACTTGTGACGCTTGAATCTGGGAAGGAAATGCAGACAGGAGTTCATCCTCGGGCCTACGCTTAAAAGCCGCCCATTCATCATCAGTCGGATCTTCACAAGGCATCTTGACTCGGGCAATGGTGGCCCTATTAGGAATATATCCCGCGTAGTCATACTGCCCGAAGTTGACAGCTGCATGGTGACCCGAAGCTACCCAGATGATTGTTGTAATAATCCCGACAAGGTCTTGTGGTGTTTTGAGAACAGGCCACCATGGTTCGTCTTTCTTGTCTCCGTGGCCGACTGTTCTAATCTCTGTCCACCATGCTTGAAGTTCTTCATCAGATTCCACAAGATTCTCTTCTTTGTAGTAATGGTTGACGTAGTTGGTTACCCAATCTTTGATAATATCCCAAAGAACCAATGCATCGTTTGCGTAGGGATAATCTTCTATGGTTAGCTTTAGACCGTGGGGCGAATCCGGATCTTCCACAGCCATACCCCTTAATATTAGCAAGTTTAAAAGTTCGAATTAGTTAAATCTAATTTGAGGCAGAAAATGAAGATCTAGCGTAAAAAAAAGTATCAGTTGGGATTACCTAGCAATAAGGTCGGCTGGCAATGCTTCATGATCAAAACGCCATTGTAGATCATAAGCAACAGAACTCATCTCAATGCTATACTTTCCTGGTGAAAAGCACGCTTCGATAGTTCCATTAGAATTTATGAGGGCTTCCCGAGCCAAACCATTGATCTCCATTGTGTATCGGAAATGAGGGTGTAAGAGGTTATATATGGGGTGCATTTTACTAAGCTGACGATTGGTTGCAATTATATATGGCTCAGTACAAGCGTGCGTCCTCAACCTGTGAAATTCCAATATCAAATTAGCGTATCATACAACTAATTAGGGGACAACTTAACTTTTGCTCAGAACCTGGCTCCAATAAAGGGCGCTAGTTGCTTACCAGTGACTTACGAGCTGATGATAACCACTATCATGAGCAAGGGCATGCACCTTAGCAAGCTTCCACAGCCAAGCACCCGTTGCATCCCAACAGGGAGTGAATGCTTGCTTCCATTGAGGTTTTCCATCACCAGGTGGTCGAACCAACTCAATGGCTAATGGCCTCAATGTTCCCGTTGGAGTAAGGAACATCAGTGTTCTTGATCCATATAAAGTTGTTCTCATAGTTTTGATATCTCTAACTTTGTTCACATACGGCAGAAAAATATCATGATAATCTAGAACGAAAAGCTTTTTGTTCTTTAATGCCTGCATATGATATAGGAATGCATGTTTAACTTACAATTTCTATATTCTAACTACTGTCAAAAAGTACAAATTTTAGAGAATTAACTGTACCTCGTCAAGCGTGCAGAAGCCTCTGATCTCTTCCTCAACGATCTCTGTAGTTATTGCAGATTCAGCCGGACCATACACCTCAGGGTCAAGTTTACTCATCATTGGCCATTCCTACACATTCAGTTTTACCATTTATAAACTTTCTTTTCTAGATAACTAAATAATCAATATCTAGAAAGTTGGGTGATCCGCAAAACATACCGTGACCAAGCGAATACTCAAAGGGTTAAGACCAGCAAGGGTTTGGCGACAAAATTCTTCATCCCTCATCCAACCAAACTTATCTCCTGCAAATCAACAATGGTAAAATCTTTAAATTGACCAAGAAAACATCAATCTGAGAGAGAAAGAGAGAGTTGTAATTACTGTCTATCATTTCAGGAGTCTCGAAAAGCAAGATGTTATTTTGAGCATCTTCAAAAGCCTTCAAAATTCTAGGGAGAACACTTCCTAGAGGTCCTTTGCTGTCTATCTGTGGCAGATTAACTCCCTCATTGAACAAAGAATCAATGGCTGTGAAGTATGGAAACCCAAGATCTTTGTCAATTAGAGTTGTCTCTAGCGAAGGCACCACTGCGTGCAACACCGAATATACAGTCTTGAACGAAAATGATAAATTCTTTATTTCTGAAAAGGCTTCATCCCTTGGTAAGTAAACGTCACTGCTTCTTGTCTCTGATAATGGATCTGCATTTGCAATTGTATTCAATAAACTCGTCAAACAACAACCATCATGTTCTTTATTTTGATTGCTAGCAGCAAGTTTACATTCCAGAAATTCGTAATAAACAACCACAGGATACGACTAGATCACAACTCGTCATTACTCATGTAGTTGACCAAAAACTCAACATCTTCATCAAGACGGACATTCAACGCGAATGTATTTGATCGAATAAACTTCAATTGAGCTAACAAATTCATACGAAAACACCGTTTTTGGCTTTAAAATGTATTCCTTTGTCAAATTAGATGATAACAGCAGAGATTAGAATGCAAATTGGGGAAAACAATCGAATACCTGATTTAGTGCGAGCGCGACCAGTTTTGCAACGCCTAGGGTAAGGATGTTGTTTGCCGCCGAGCACCGGACGCGCCAACTCCGGATCCTTGTCCGGATCGCCGAGGTCATTGTACACATCATAATCGTAAATTCTATCTATCTTTTTCCGAGGGCCATCACTGACGCCGTCGCCTCGCAGAATCGCAAGTTCCTTCTCTCGGAGAGCCTTGAGGCCGCTCGGTGTATCCTTTGGAAGGCATGCTACCTGCGTTACGCACGCGACAACACGCACTCAAATTTCGTTGGTCGTTGCTATATATTAAACGCAGTGTTTTGTTAATAATTTATATTTTAGTCCTTATGATTTAAAAATTACAATTTTAGTTCCTATATTTTATAATTTATTGCTATTCTCATCCTTGGTTTAGTCCCTACCTTAAATATAAGGGACCAAAATAATAAATATTTGTAAAAAGAGGGACCAAAACAACAACTAATTATTAATCATAAGTCCGAAAATAGCAAGACGAAAAATATAGTCCAATTTTAGATATAATTTAATAAAAAAAAGTTATCAAAGTTAATTAAAGACATAAAATAGCTTTTAATAAGATGAAACTTAAAACACAGACCAAAACTTGAAAATTCATGAATTTATGATGATATCAGTTATTTACTAACCTTGTCAAGGAAAAAAATACGTTTAGAGTTTTTTTCACGTTTTGATTGAATCCATGATTCACAAGTTACGGTGACGGGACCAATGGCAAGACCTTCCAGTAGAATGGATTCCACAAACATTTCTTTGTGGTGTTCATTTTGTATATAAATTGCCCCAATTGATCCAAAATCCTCTGGTACTTCAAACTCTGCTAAATATTGCAAGTCGTCTGCCTTTCGTCCAAGTCGATGTGCGTAATCTTTTATTGTAGGTTTTGTTATTCCCGTCACTTCAAAAAAAATCAAATTGTAAATAAGGAAATCAATAAATAAAGTTATAACTTATAAACTAATTTAAAAACAATTTTATTATTTCTTATAAATAATTTAACAAAAAGAAATCCGATGTTTCATAACAATTATAACGATCTACCGTTAATTATTTAAGTTATTTATCTGGAACTCCGGCTTTATGCAAATAAATCATGTTTCTGTATGCTAAACATAAAATCATTATTAAAACCATTTCGTTTATGTTCTTGAATCTACGTTAGAGAGATGAAACATAGAAACATGGAATCCTACATCTACTGAATCAAAACTTATATAACATTAAATATGTTTATATATGGTAATAAACGGTTTTATATTACTTAGGTTTATAAGATCTAACAACTGTATGTCCTATGTATATACTGTTAAATAAGTTGATAGATAGTTTTTGAATGTCCTAACAAGTTTTTAAAATAGTTTGAAAATGTGTTTCTAAAACAAGTGGACAATAATAAGATGTGTTCATTGACAAATTCCTTAAAAGTATCCAATAAAAAAACAAATAGGGTTCTATCGCTGACTCAGGTAGAAGCACAGTCAACAAGCAACCAGAGATATTTTTCATTTTAGTAAACAAGCTTACCTTTTATCTGGATACAAAAAATTATTGATGAGGAGTGTTAATTAAGAGTAGGGGTGCACAAAAACCCGTCCAACTTGAAATAACTCAACCCCAAACAACCGAATGTCTAATTGAGTTGTAAAATCTTCAAACCGTAAGGTTGGAATTGGGTTGTGGCCATTCAAACACAACCCAACCCACGTACCCTCTTCATATACATATATTTTTAATTTCTTCCTCATCTCTATATAACTCCTCATATATATGTCAATAAATATGAGCATATATATAGGGTTGGGTTCTGTGAGTAGGAAAGTTATCATGAGAATTGATCTGGTGCATTTTAGCGCATCACATTTGTGTTGATATTCGATTAAGATTGATCCAATGGTGAAGATTCATTCTTACCATAATTGTCATTCTCACTGGAACCCAATCCCTCCCCCCCCCCCTTCTCTCTCTATGT